TATTTATTATAAGATAATTAAAAAAATTAATATAAAAAAGGAAAAAGACAACAAAAAGACAAAAAAAATAACAAAAAATGAAATGATAACCTAACTATAGGGGTGCCATTAATATAAGATAGGGGTGCCATTAGCCTTTCCCTTTTTTTATTGTACGAAAAGAGGTATGGTAGAGAATTATTACGAATAGACTAATTTTATGTTTTACCAAAAAAATATTTGTATTGATAAAGGTAAGGTAAGTATTAACATTGACATTGACATTGACATTGGTGCTTATTCCAAATATTTAATTATGAAAATAGTTGTTTTATTCCAAACCTTTTGACAAACTTTTTGGCCACATAAACGAAAAAAACCCTGAGGGAGAAAAAAAATATACTTTTTTGTTTGTGACGTTACGTTTTTGAACGTGGGCTACACTTTTTGTTGATGCTTAAATCCGACTTTTGTGGGACATATTTATACTATATTACAAAGCATTTGATAAAAGCTCTTAAAAACCATTTTTATGCATAAAGTACTTTATATTGATACGTATTACTTAAAATTCAAGATTATAAGTAAATTATACATAAATACAACTTATTAAAGCTCGATGTTTGAATTCGTATAACTAACTGCAGATAAACATAATCAAATAGAGGATAAACATCTCATTTTAAAAAATAAAAAAATCTAAAATATAATTAAGATAATTATCAAGTTTGAACAAAATAATTAGTTATTATCTTTATAAGAAAATTATATTATTAAACCAAATATAAATTACTTCGTTATTGAAATTAAATTAAATTATAACAAAAAATTGAATTAAAAATTACACAAAAAAGTAAGAAATTTTAAATAGTTAATTTGATATTAATATCGTATTATTTTTATCAAAATTTTATAATATCTTCAAATTTATATCTTATTAAAAATTAAAAACATTATCGTCTTTCTAAAATCACATAAGACCATATAATAACATCGACCATATAATAACATCGACCAATACCCTTCTAGTTTTCAAAATATGAGTTTTTAATAAACTGAAAAAGTAACATATATTTTTTAAGTTTTATAAATATATTTTAACTTAAATGAAAAATAAATTGACTTTATGTATGTGTTATAGTGAACATGTATATATTTAAAGTAAATGGTGAAAAAAATATTGAAAGGAACAAAAAACAAATTTATGTACTTTGTTTATACATTTTTCACTTTCTAAAACACATCTTTGAAACTGTCATTTTCAGTAGTATCGCTGCTGTCTTTTTTGCAGCTTTTGTTGTTGCCGGAACTATGTGGTATGGTCCAATTCTAAAGGATCAAACCTATGGAATTGAATTCAGGCTTTCATTAGCTCCTTGGACTACTATGTGGTATGGTCCAGTCATACACGAATTGGACCCTTAGTTTGTGATGCTAGCCAGTGTTATGCAGATGATGAATTTGGCCATAGAAAAGCAACAAGAATTGTTCATGAAGATGTTAGAGGACAGTGATGCCAGTAACCGAAGGCATAAGATGGTTGCAAAGAATGTTGGCGGTGGGTCTGGTAAGCAGGTAATGCTATCGGCATAGAAAAACAAGTGATTGTCAATGCAAGGCAGGGAGAGAGGTTTGCTTATACAAGACCTTATGTAACAAACCACCTAAGTTCTTGGA